AGCTGATGGAACCTACACTCAGATGCTGAAGTTATATTTAACATCTCTTGGAGACAATATCCAAGTAAATCACAGCTCTATGGACCCATTCCTGATATTTCTACAATCCTATGCGAATGCAGACTGTATTTGAAAGACACTGCTATCGAGCAAAACAAGAAATTGCGAGTAACCTACTGCTGTGGAAATGTATCCCTGGAGCAAGTCGGGTTGATCGCCCAGCAGCCATCAACATTAACCAGCTACACAAAACGCCACCCTAATGACCTTCCGAGCTTGATGCACGACCGTCATGGTTGGCGTAATAGATACATGAATGTCCGAGTTCAAGTATATATGGTAGCCACTTAAATGCAGCTACCTACATTGACCAGCTATGTTATGACAAAAAAACGCTACCAAAATGACCTTCCGACCTTCATGCAGGACCGTGATGGTTGGCGTGATACACTACCCAGAACCGAATCCGGACTATTGGCCTAACGGTATGACGCTTACGTTTTATTGCAACGGTCTGGGTTCGATTCTGTGTAAAGAATGCTCACTGATGACGAGTCCTAAAAAAGAACGAAACGGCTGTCCAGTGCTTTCAGCAATCTGTTGAAGATTCTTCTACTAGACTCGATGAATTATTGTGTGAAATATTATATATATATATATATATATATATATCAAAAACATAAAATTCATAATCTTACTCTCCAATATTCTATCTACAAAAATTAAAAATAAATTAGTTATCCCTAAAGTTAGGGCTTTACCACCACCTTAAATACAATCGGAGATATAGTCAGTAATAAAAATAGACCCAACACCACTTCAGATGCCGGGATTTTCGAAATAGAGGGCCTGCAATGTAAAAATAGTTACATTGGCGAGACATCACGGAATCTAAACGCACGCGTCTATGAACATAAGAGAGACCTACGTTGGGACAACACTTTAAACGCGCTTGTACTACACAGCAAAAAACTGGCTAAAACTTTTATTTTATAAATGCCGCCCTAGTTAAAGAAAAGAACATAATCCTTTACATAGAGAATACTTCGAAGGGATTCTGATTAATCTCTTAAAGCATACCTCAAACATACAATATTAATCAATAACTTTGTATCTTGTCGGTAATATCGAAAAGGGCCCCCGCATCCATCAGAGAACTGACTTTCTGGCCACCTCACTGGGGAGGGAGATTAACCTAATGAAAATGGGAATAACAAATAAAAGGGGCCAATGAACATATATCCCCTAGCTAAGTTAACTTGGCATAAAAACAACATTATCAGTTAAAATTCACAAGGAATATTTTTATATAAAAGTAAGTATGATGATGATGATCTTCCGCATCTTCACCGATGGTATTTATCAATCCACCCACGGGGATCGAATGTGACACAAGGCCTTTTTAATGTGGGTATCTCTGAGCCCGTAGGCTCAACCAAAAATAAATAACCATCCAAACCCGCCGAGGCGGGCCAGTTCCGTCAACCTCCCCCAACGAAACCCTACCCTTCGGCGGAGCTTCGTCCGGGTTCCTCTCTGCAAGCAGAGAGTTCGACAGACACCCGACCCGGCAGCTCACAAAGCGCAGATACTACATTTTGATCCTAGCCACCGGGCCGCATCTTCACAGATGATGGCGTTCGCTCTCCATCTCGCACCTCTCTCGTGTATGACTTGCTAGACCAGCTACGGACTTTCATGACTTGTTATATAAGTGACAAACGAACAATATTCTTGCCACATCCCTGATGGATTCACACCGCTGTGTCCGATTCCTATGCACCATCATGTGCCTTTTCAACCCGGAGCTGGTTTTTCATATCTTGTTACACAGCGTGCAGGCTGTGACACACTGTGTCTAGGAAATGTCAAGGGTGATTTTTTTTCTTTCTGTGACTTCACATGATTCACCCAGCCAGCCTTTAAAAGAAATATGCGCCGACAGAAATCAAATGTCCAATCTTTGGTACCCTCGTCAAGTCCATGGTTATCACCCATTCGAAGTCGCCGCTTCAGCCATTTGTGTTCCAGACGACATTCTTTGAACAGTTGACAACCGTCTCTTATTTGAACTCTCCATCCAGTTCTATCTAGGGCCACCTTCTCTCAATTGTTAATGTCAAACGCCATCTTTTTTAGGTTGTTCTTGATACAGACCTTGTATCTTTTCTTTGGTTTGTGCTGAGGACTCTTTCCAATACTCAACACACCATAAAACAATTGTTTCCGGAGTCTACTTTCCTTCATTCGAATTATGTGTCCTGTCCATCGCTTTTGGGAAGATATTACAAGATCCTCCATACTTTGGCAGTTGGCTCTGACTATAAATATAAGTATACTCTAATGTCAACAAGATCGATTGGTTAGTACCATTTTTATTGTTAAAACCAAGATTTGTAAAATACAGTTTGACATCTTGTAATTCTGTATATATACAGAAGGTGCCATATTCATGCTTCCGAATATGATTTAGATTATATTGTTTAAATGTAATCAAATATGATTTAGATGGTCTCTTAACTTATATAGGGCGAGATGAGTAAATTGTCGCCATTTTATATTTTTAATTTCGCGCATGCGCGTTGTTTGTTTTTCATTTTGCTGACTACACAGGGTCACTTGGTCAACGTCTGTGATAAAAAAGAGCACCATAACGCAATTCACTCTGCCAGAAATTTGAAAACGACATGTTGTACTGCTTGGCATTCGCGCCGGAAGCTCCAATACGAACATTTCAGTGTCAATTAATGTAGAGGATTCGGAAAGGGTTGGATGAGTCTAATGGCGATTACGAATGTATAGCAGCTCGCAAAACTCACTCTGATCGTTCTGATAAGTAAAGAACTCCTGAAATTGAGGCCTACGCCAAGTGCTTTGAGAAGGTAGTGCTGCCTTGGGTCAAGAGTGGCTGCTGGAAAGCTCTATGCCTGGCAACAGGACTCTGCACCATGTCACAAAAGCCGGATAACCTAGTCATGGCTGTCAGACACTTTCAGCGACTTCATCACCTCTTACATCTGTCCACCTAACTCCCATGACTGCACCCCATTGATTATTATGTGTGGGATGCAGTTGAGTGAGAGACCAACAACATTTCCTTGTAACACCAAAGATGAACTGAAGGCGAGGATTATGGCAGCATTCACAAACTTAAACAAGAAGAGTGTCCAGAAGAGTTGCAGGAGATTCCGAAGTCGTCTGGAGGGCGTTGTTGAAGACAATGACGTTTTTATTGAATAAATTTACTCTTTAGTATTTCAAGATATTTTTGTGTAATTTTGGTAAATATATCTGCTAAAATGAGATGTTAATGTTATTTTCATTTTTGCATAATTTAATCGGCAAATTTATCCATCGCAACCCATACTTACTTAACATCAGAGTCAATTGAAATTCCTGGGACACATAATGAGGAAAGAAGGCTTGGAAAATTTGATACTCACAGGACAGATTGAGGTCAAGAGAAGGACAAAGGAAAACAGCGCATGGCAAACCTGATGAGCTTGAAGACATGGATAGCAGAACGGGGTTTAGAAGAGATAACGAAACGATAAAATTTATTAAGAGCTACAAAGGACAGGAAGCCTACGTACTTAGGGGACACGACACAGAGAAGAAATCTCAAATAAAAACAAAAATCGTATTTAAAAATGGTTGCACTTAATGAAGAAACGCCCTTCATATGTTTCTGAGGAATTTTCCAATATCTTTTGAGTGTTAAGAATTATTTTTTACATGAGGTGAAATCCGAAGGCGCATTGGGATAGCGAAAGATGCCTTGCAAAAATCTAAGCAAAGTATTAAGAAACAGGAAAAATCCGTTACAAATAAAGAAAAGAGCGTTGAAATGCTATGAAATATCAATCCTGTTATATGGCAGTGAATGCTGAGCAGTTTCCTCACAGAGGAAGAGAAGATTTGAAGCAACAAAGAAGCGGTTCTACAGAAAGATGCTGAGAATGATATGAACTGAACAAGGGAGCAACGAGGAAAGCTTTAAAAGAAAAGAAAAACAGAAATTATATATTTGTACTTAGAATCAGAAAGAAACGGATGAAATTTATGGGATATATAATGGGGAAAAAAGGTTTGGAGAATTTGACACTCACAAGACACAAGAAAGGCAGAGGGAAACATCTAATGAGATTGTGTAAATAGATGACAGAACAGGGCGTAGGAGGAATAGTAAGGGGGGTGAAAAGGATAGAATGTTGTGGAGAGCCATGTTCTGAAGGAATATGGCACATTTTATTTTACTAATGCTCATCCAAAACAAGGCCCAAGAGCCACTGAAGGTAGAGGGTTACCGTGTGGAGTTGTATTAGCTTAAGAAAAGTCAAGCGTTAAGAATACAGAGTTGAAGTCTACTTAAGAAGGAACCGGAAACCCAACCCTAAACAGGAAACCAGGGATAAATCTCTACACCTGTTAAAAAAAAAACAGGGAGGAGTGTGAACCGAACGATAGGAGGACCTGTCTAGTCCTATAATTTTTATTTTATCAATTCACTTCAAGCAAGACGATAATGCCACTTAAATGCAAAGGGGTGTCTACTGGGTGTGAAATAGAATGAGAAGACTTCAGATAGAACCGGAAACCCAATCTTAAACAGGAAGAGAGCGAGGATTATAGCAGCACTCACAAACAAGGAGATCGTCCAGAACAGTTGCAGGAGATCCCAAGTCGCCTGAAGGCCGTGAATGAAGTCAAGAGCGATTTGATTGAATAAATTTGTGTCCTTTATATGTTTCTCAGTAATTTTACAATATTTTGGGGGGTTTAAGAATTAATTTTGACATAGGGTGAAATTGTTCATCCTCTACTCCCGTTGAAAAGTCAAGGGAGAAATATGAACCAGGCAAGAGGCGAACATAAAAAGAAATCTATTATAGGAGATGCCCAATGAGGATCGAACACACTACATAGACAAAATAAATTGGTTGTCGAGACGTGCTTGCTTTTTATCGCACTATTGCAGCCACCGATAGTCTTACTAAAATGGATCATTTAACTGTAATATCCTGGGATGCAAAACGACTTTAAACTTGAAGACGGTGATTTCCAAATATATCGTAACGTTTTTATCCCTAGTTTCTTTGTCCAATAAGAAATTTGCAGAAACAGCAACAAAAAATACTGACTCAATGAGAATAGTCGAAAAAAATATGATGAACTTATAAATAGATTCCACGGGCGGCAGAAACTAAAGAGAACCCGACCTGTGACCAAAGAGAAATAAAACCGATCCGAAACGGAAAGAACACGTTACGTGTCTTCGTCTGATTGGCTCGTTTCATTCCTTCATTTTTATCGCTGGTTTTCCTACCGTAAATTTTGATGCAGACATAACTATTAGAAATAAATCAATCAGTCAGTCCGCAAATAAATCAATCAGTCCGTAACCTAATGATTAAAAAAAAAAGCAAACATTTATTTTAAACGCAAATTTATTTTCCAAAATAGCCTCCTTCCTTGTCAAAACACTTGATTTAATCGCGGATATGTAAGTCTAATGGTGAAAAAAAACATTCATTTCACGCAACAAATATTTATTTTTGATATATAATCTTCTTTCTTGCCAATGCACTTAATTCAGAAGGAAAATATGGAGGTAAATAAGTATGTTAATAACAAAATGATGAAAAAAGTATTTATTTTCACATCGCAATTACTTATTTTTCAACATAATCTCCTTCCTTGTCAATGCACTTAATTTAGTAGTGAATATGCAGGTACATCAATAAATCCATAGCCTAATGATGAAAAAAGCATTAATTTTGCCCATAAATATTCATTTTTCAATGTAGTTTCCTTCCTTGTCAATGCACTCAATTCAATGTGAAATATGTTGGTATGATAAAAATCATTTATTTTACACAAATATTTATTTTCCAACATAAAATCCTTCCTTGTCAATGCACTTAATTCAATGGTGAGTATGTAGGTACATCAATATGTCCATAGCATTAATGTTGTGCAACAAATATTTATCTTCCATCATAATCTCCTTGCTTGTCAATGCACTTAATTCAGTACATCAATATGTCCATAGCATAAATAGCATAAATAAGAATAAATAAAAAAAAATAAAATAAAATAAAAATAAGAGCAAAAAGAAATAAGAAGGGGTGAAGAAAGAAAGAAAGAAAGAAAGAAAGAAAGAAAGAAAGAAAGAAAGAAAGAACTAAAACAAATATAATAAAATAAAAATAAGAGAAAAAAGAAATAAAAAGGAGTGAAGAAAGAAAGAAAGAAAGAAAGAAAGAAAGAAAGAAAGAAAGAAAGAAAGAAAGAAAAACGAAAGAAAGAAAAGAAAGAATAGACAAGAAAGTGATAATCCAACAAAGAAAGAAAGAAAGAATTCAACGGACAAAGAAAGAAAGAAAGAAAGAAAGAAAGAAAGAAAGAAAGAAAGAAAGAAAGAATTCAACGGACAAAGAAAAAAAGAAACAGCTAAAACAAATAAAATAAAATAAAAATAAGAGAAAAAAGAAATAAAAAGGGGTGAAGAAAGAAAGAACGAAAGAAAGAAAGAAAGAAAGAAAGAAAGAAAGAAAGAAAGAAAGAAAGAAGGAAAGAAAGAAAGAAAGAAGAAAGAATAGACAAGAAAGTGACAATCCAACAGACAAATAAAATAAACAAAAGAAAGAAAAAGAAAGAAAAAAGAAAGAAAGAAAGAAAGAAAGAAAAAACTAAGAGAAAAAGAAAAGGCTTAGTTTATACAAACAGGAGCATCAAATATTAGAATAAAGTTTCGTGCTAAGATAAATTCAGAGGAATAAATCTAATTCCTAATAATAATACCTAACGTTGGGTGCTCAGCTATTTACTAAGATTCAATTTGTCTAACAAAAGGATCATTAGTTGAATCCCCCTACACAATAGAGATGCTCCTAACCATTACCTCACTGCGAGGTGTTCAAATGTATAAATATTAATATAATATATATAATATACACAAAAGCCCAAAATACGAAACAGTGAGGGATCGATTTCAATAAAATATAATAAATATATATAGCAAAGTATACATCTCTCCCCTCTCTCTCTCTCTCTCCCTCCCTCCTCTCTCTCTCTCTCTCTCTCTCTCTATATATATATATATATATATATATATTCAAGTATTGTCTGGATCAATTTTCACGTATCAATTTCTTAGTGCCGTTACAAAACTATATATTTTATATTTCTTTTTATATATTTTATTTTTCAAAATAATGAGTCTTAATTGAGCAATAAATATATATATATATATATATATATATATATATATATATGAATGAATGAAGAAATATAGTCTTAAGATGTATATATTTATGGGATAAATTGCTCAATATCATATATATAAAAGTATATAGACGTAGACACTAGAGGCGACAGTCTGTTTCATGCTAGATATATATATATATATATATATGTGTGTGTGTGTGTGTGTGTGTGTGTGTGTGTGTGTGTTAAAATATATAGAAAATAGGAAAGAACTCGTTAGGTAAATAATCAAAGTTCTTTAGTATTTTTTTGTTATTATTTTGAAAAATATGCTATATAAATATAATTATTTCTTTAAAAATATGATTCCAACACGCTACATCAGAGTTCTCATGTTTCAAAACAAGAAAAACTTCAATATAATTATTTAAATTAAATAATTATAAACTATCTTCAAGCGAAATTTTTTTGGAATCATTCAAAAAGTTTTGTTTTTTTTATCTGGAAATGATATTATAGCTAATTTTTCTTGTTGACAAAGGTTGCAGATATTGCTATATTAATCAAATTGTTGTAAGGTATTGCTTTTTTTAATTTTCCAGTTAACAATCATATCTTTTTTTTTTTTCCTTTAATTTCCTCACATGGTTGGCTAGTCTAGTGGAATTCCTAAGATTTTCTAGCTTAAAAGATGACTTGTGATTGTACCACCTCTTCTTAAAGTACAGCCTATGTATATTTTTTCTGGTCATTTGTAGCTATCACTTCTGCTTTATAAATTACTTACTTTAAATTACTTACTTTAAAAATATAACGTTTATATTTTTTATTTTTTAATATATATATATATATATATATATATATATATATATATATATATATATATATAAAAGGCTTAAACACTAATATTCCATGGTCATATATTCCATTGGAATCGTAAATATCCAATTCATCAGACCTACAAATTCAAAAGAAAACAGAAAAAACAATTCCGGAAATAAAAACAGAATTTAGAGAGTGTAAGTATGAGGGGTAACAGACTAGAAGGGGGAGATTAAACCTTAACAGAGAATTTTAGGAGAGGTGAGTGGAAGGGTTTAAGTAAGAGAAAAATTATTGTCGGATGTCTAATGCATAAAAGATATACATTTCGTGTAGACATATATAGACAATCTAATGTTAGAATAAGAGGGAGGGAAAGACGAGGTGGGGATATAAATTGCGTTATTAAAGGGCCGCTTTGTAATTTAATGTATATATTTACCAACATATTATCTATCTATCTATCTATCTATATATATATATATATATATATATATATATATAAGAAGGTATATTTATAGCCAGGATGACCGTGGTTCAGGCCTAACAAGCAAAGAATAACCTATAGATATGACAGAGGATATTTGTGCCAGTATCATTAGAATTTTTTTAAATCAGTCGGCTGCGAGGCAATACATGGAGTTGTATAGGTCATAACGGGAGTGAAGTGTCACATACGACAAAAACATAAAAACAGAATACGTCGAAATCGATGGGACAGTCTATATACAAAGATAGATAGATATTTTAAAAATTAGAAATTGCTTTTCTTTGGGGCTACCTTCATATATATATATATATATATATATATATATATATATATATGAAAGAAAAATATACAAAAAAACAAACAAAAATCCTATATATATATATAATGTTAATATGTCAACGTCGGACGTTTCGGTCTAATAAACCATCTTCAGGACATATTCATAAAATATGATTAACATTATCAATTCAACATGACAAAGACGATGTATAAGAACAAGACTTATCCAAACAGATAACTGAAAGTTTTATAAGATCATTATAACATTAAAACAGCATAATTGTATATATATTTTATTTTTTCCGTATATTTTTCTTCATACTGTCGGATCTATATCCATATATTTGCTTATATATATATATATATATATATATATATATATATATATATATATATATATATATATCTGTGTATGTGTGTGTGCGTGTGTGTGTTATAAAATGGATTAAGTCCGGCAAATATTTAATATCTTTTCTACTTATACGTAAAAAACAAATAATTTACTTCATTGTATCTATAAAAACTATAGACACAATTTATTTAAGTAAATGCTGTTTTTTATTAAACAGTATTAATTACATATACCAGCCTGAATGTTCGAGAAATTTCATATAGGAATCAACGCTATATATATATATATATATATATATATATATATATATATATATATATAATGACTCAAACATTATATATATAAATGTATATATATATATATATATTGATTCAAACATATATATATGTATATGTATATAATGATAAACATCATATATATATATATATATAATGACTCAAACATTATACATATAAATGTATATATATATATATATATATATATATATAAATATATATATATATATAATGACAAAAATTCATTATATATATATAAATGTATATATATATATATATATATATATGTATATGTATATAATGACTCAAATATTATATATATATACATAAATGTATATATATATATAAATAAAAGAAAGAAACAGTAAGATATAAAATCCGTGTTCTTATAGATATTTTATTTTATAAATAAATGTATATATATATATATAATGACTCAAACATTATATATATAAATGTATATATATATATATATATATATATATATATATATATATATAATGATTCAAACATTATACATATGTATATGTATATATATAATGACTCAAACATCATATATATATATATAATCAC